GAGTTAGTGACAAAATTTAGACCACCCTTACATGACAGATTTTTAACTATCAGAACGATGTTTACCATTATCCAAACCACAAGAAACCTTAACTATTACTGTAAGTAATTCCAGTAGCAACTCAGTATAAGAATTATTAATAAAAAGTGTTCTGATGTAATATCACTTAGGACATAACAAGAGAAGATTTCTGAATTGTAACAAGATAATTTATGCTGCATGTGTACCCAAGGTATGAAAAATGAGATTTCAATAAAATAAGTAGCAGCAAAAATGTAAGGGTGAAAAGAAAGTTTCAGAAATTCTGCAGAAGGAGAGTTACTGCTACGACACAGATGGCACATAACTTCAAAACGCACCTTGATAAATTACTGGGTTTTCCAGAATAATATTAAAATCTGTAGGGCTACAGGACACACTGTCATCTGAAAAGATACACTATAAACACTAGTAGGAAGCAACAGTTTTTAATCCGAGAACAGATTATTATTTTTAATATTATTTATTAAACAGTTAATGTTCTTCTGGATATGTTTTGTTTTGTTAACAAAGATCAGATTTCTTCGTAGCATCACTGTTCTCTTGTTAATGGTAAAGATCTAAAATCCAAGAAGAGACGCACATTAGGCTCAAGGCATGTGATAACTGTTCCCAGTATGTTATGCTGTTGCCTCCACTCTGAGGCAAACATGGCAAGATCATTACTGGAGAAGTAGGATGGCACTGATCTCACATACCTGACTCTTGGAAATGACCCGGGGAACTGTTCTGTTTGAGTTTTATAGTAAAATAACTATTACACACTTCTTACTTAACAGAGCCCACTATGGCTGTTCTTAGCAGTTTAACTAACTTGTTAGCTCCACCTTTATTTATGTGAAGTAAAATTCTAGTAAAGATATTTGCATACATTAGCAGATTCCACACATTAGGAGATCATAATTTCCAGGGCAGTTTTAAATACAAGTAGCAGAAGACATTTTGGCTCTAAGAAAAGCTATTAAGATGCTACCCTTGGTCACAGATTCCCAAAAACATAAAATACAGATATACTCCACATATATGAGGCCAGTGGAAAAATAAGAGGATCCTGTATTTCCCTGAGAGGCAGATTAAGAGTTAAAGCGCCAAACCTGGAGGTGAGCACATTCAGAAGCCAAATATTTCTGGAATTATAATAGCAATGACTGGTTTAATTTACTTACTTAGTACTTAATGCCATTTTGAAACATCTATAGAAGCTGCAGTTTGAGTTTTCCTTTATTTGTGTCTGCACGTTCATCCACCTGCAAGGTCCTCTCTAATAAATCTGAACTTATTGATTAACTTAAATCAGAAATGAAAATTCACAGATATTAAGCTCTTACTTACAAGTGTAGAGAAGTGTAGCATCTGGGTAGAGAAGATGTTCAAATTAGCATCCTCACTGAGGGAAAGACTGCAGAATATGGTCATAAGTTTCTACTTTGGGCTGGTCTAAGCATGAGCATTAACTAGATAATAGCATGTATGGAGTTTGAAGCTATTCTGTCTGCCTCTTGGCCAGGTGGTAACTGTAGAAACATAAGTGACAGGGATGAAATGGCAAAGGAGACTTACACAGCAAGACAGTTGCTACATTAAACTTCAGTATCAGTGGCATTTTAAGAAAAACAGATAATTATTCAAGGATGTTTAAGTCTTACTGTGAAGAATGTCTCCAAAAGCTGTTTATACTTTCTTTAAGACTCTTCTAAGTAAAGCTTCTTATTTCCACTGGAAATGGGACTATGCATGTCAACAATCTATAAGCCCATACCATGGACATCAATTTAAGTTATGTTGAAACCACAAGCTAAATAGGCTAAATCCTTACAACTCATACAGATCACTCAAATGGGTACATGTAAAAGAGAGGTAAAGTGAAATCTAAATTTATCTGTAAAAAGAAATAGGATTCATTGTATTTTCATGTTGAATGTTAAACCTGAAAATATTTCCAAGCAAACTTTGAAGAGCCAAGTCATATTAAAGAAAAAAAAAAAAAAAAGGCTTCTAATTTATTTTCTAATTTTATTCACCTTGCAAATAAATATGTCAAGTGGAACATTAATCCAAACAGTTCTGAGTATTCACTTCTGTCCATGGATATCTGTGACAATTGAAATAAGCTTTTAGTATTTTGAAGCTCATCTTTCAATAGGCTACTTTTCAATTAGGACTTTAATGACATTAAGTGATCTTCCAAAACATCAAGTTATGCAGAATATAAGTATCTTAATAGTCTATGTGCACTGGAAGTAGCAAGAGTCATGGCATATCACTGAAGCCATAAAGCTTACAGTAATTTCAAATAGTTGCTGATAGCTGAAGACTGCTTGCAGCCAAAAGAATCAATGGAAGAACAGTTGTAAGAAAATACAGAAAAATAACTGTCAAACAACTCCAGCACAAGTTTTAGCCATCTGTCACATACTACTACTTTCGACATATAAGGCACCAACAAGAATCTGCAAAGTTTTACTCATATACATGGGCAAATTAGTTTATTTGGTCATTATTTATGATTAAGCTGAACCTGTAAGTTACATTAAAAGTGTCATTTCAGAATTCCTTGTAGTACTGTGAAGTCTAATATTTTGCAGAATTATAACCAAGAATAATGGCCATGCAGCCATTTAACAGACAGTTTTAAATAGAATTAAAAACAAATAGTGACAAACACTTGTACTGTTATTAGCCTGTTGCCCAGTTTTCCCAAGTTAAAACTAATGATAGTATTAAATCAGTAACACTCCATATGATAAACCATAACCCATTTGGCTTGTTTGAAATTCTCTCATAATTTGCTTGAAAGGCAATGAATTTTTAAGAATTCTTTGCTAAAATTAATCGAAGTTGGAAGTTGATAGTAACAGGAGGCTTAAAAAGCCTGCCAAGCTTTGTACAATTATTTTATGTATTTTTTCTTCTAAACAAGCCTCTGACCACGTGAATTTGTTGGTAGACATATGTTATGATACATTTTGTAACTCTGTCTCGCAATACAAGAGTAGTAATCTCAAGTACAGAGATATATAGCATGACACGATAGAGGCATGTCCCCCCAGCTCCTTCTAATGAGAATTCTAGCTCTTTCAGTCGTGGCGTACCGTGCAACAGCATCCGAGTCTCACTTTTCCTCTGCAGCATTACACATAGCAAGGAATAATTTATTCAGATGTTTTCTATCTACATGGAAATGCCACATTCTACCTTCAACCGTACAAAGCCCCTGACATTCTAAAGGGGGTTACTTAAATACTGTTCAGAACAAGCATGTTTGCTGGGGGATGGGCACATCTCACAGCAATGCTGCAGCACTGGTGTAAGGCTTCCAGTTCATCTCTGGCTTGGCTTGCAGAAAATGCTGTTTGGATGGAAGAGATCCAAAGAGGAATAAGCACACAGAGCAGTTGCAACTTGGTGTTAAATGTAAAGTTACAAACATGACTTTCAATGTTTTTTCCCAAGGGGTCTACAAAAAACCTATTTAGATGAAACAAATAGGTCAAAACAACAGCAAAGGAGACAGAGCATGAAACTGCTGCAGAAGTGCAGCTAAACATTACTAAGTAATGGGTAAGCATAAACTGCCAGCACTGAAGTTATTCTTCAAGTATCTGCGTAACAGACATGAACGTGAAAGGGCCTTCGTCTCTTGCAGAACCATTTTCCAGTGTAAAGCCTCTGGGCAGGATTCAGGTGCTGCCCAGCACCAACAGAGAGAAGGCTCTTGCTCAGGATTGCTCTGACCACCTGCAGAACCAACTGTCTACACAAGAGAGTGATTTAAAGAAGACCCAAACATACATTTGTTAAGAAATTGGTTTTATCATAATTGTAATGGGACAGTTAACACCTTATTCAAGAGCAAAAAGATTGCCTTGGTAGCATCAAGGAAGTAGTTTATAACACTTCTTCACTGATACAGGTGCACCTTTTGGCAAAGGATATTGTTCTCCTAGACTGAGCACAGGAACACGGGTATTTCCCTCTACCTTCCTGTTTCCACGGTGGGGGGAATTGTACAAGGTTTACAATACCCTTCACCAGTTTTACAGACAATACGGTTACTAAGTGCCTAATAATGCTGTTTGCAGAAACATCATTGCACAAATTCTTCATGACTTACACATGAAATAACAAAACATTTTTAAGAGTGGGATGAGCATGGTTTTAAAGGAGGGAGTGAAAATTGGCTAGTAGCTTTCCTTTGCTAGTAGCTTTCCTTTGCAAAAACCCCCAACCCCTTTACGTTTAATACAGAGCAGATGTACTGCACCCATGGAAGACGCACAAAAAATGTCAGTTTACCTAAGACATGCCATAACGTGTTCTACATTTGAGATTTTCCAGGTCTTAAACGAGTTTTGTAACACAGCTCCACTAAAAGAAACTGCCACGTACCGAGCTGCTTCAAACACACGCTCCTTCTCAGAGCAAGAGCGATGGCCCCGTGGCTCGGCCAAGCGCTGGGGTGATCGCAAACCAGGATCGCGTTCCCGATCCTCCGCGGACTCCTGGCGTTACCTCGGACGAATTAATCATTTCCCCGCTGCCGACGGGAGCGAGCTCTCCTGCCGCAGGTTTGCGATGCCCTGGGGTTCAACGCCGAGCAGAGCCGTCCCTGGGCGCAGCTCCCCTCCCGGCCGCGGCCCCTCGCCGCCTCCCCCCCGGCCCGAGGGGGGGGGGGGTGGGGGGGCGGGGGGAGTTTCTCGGCTCGGGGCGGGGCGGCAGCGTCCTCGGGGGGCACTTGCCCCGGGGATGGGGGGGAACCAGCCGTAGCGAGAGGAGCGGCAGCGCCGGATCCCGGCCCCTCGGCGCGGAGAGGGGCGGCAGGCCGAGCGGAGCGCTTCCCGCCCCCCCCCCCCCCCCCCCGCAGCGTAACACCGGCGAAGAGCGAGAGGCGAGGAGCGCTGGGAGCTCCGCACCGGCGGGGCGGGACGGGGCTCGGCATCCCACCCCCCGGCCCTGCCCAGCCGGGGGACGCGGACACAGGCCGGGGGTGGGAGCGGCGCGGCGAGGAGCCGCCGAACAGAGCCGAGCCTGTCCCCGCTCCACTCCGCGCTGAGCCGGTGAGTGACCGGGGCCCGCGGCAGCGGCGGGCGAAGGGAAGGGGCGAGGGGCAAGGGGAAGGGGCAGTGAGCGCCGGGGCGAGGGGAGAGCGGCGGCAGCCTCGCCCCGGGGGCAGCTGCGGGGCGGCGGGAGGGCTGCGGCTCCTCGGCCCCCCTCACCCCAGCCCGGGCAGCCAGCGGGAGCGCGGGGGGAGAAGAGAGGGAAACAAGAGCAAACCAGCACGCTTCATTTTTAACAACTCTTCCTCAGCATTCGTGAAGTAAAGCTTTGCAGGAGTCGGCTGCTCCTTACCCGCCTCATCCCCGCTCGGAGCCAACCGGCAGCGCGGCTGGCGCCCTCGGGGCGGCCGAGGGGAGCGCGGGGGCTCCCGTGGGAGCGGGCGCCCAGGTCCCCGCGGAGCTGACGGTGTTTTTCTCGAGGCAGGAATGAAGAGGGGCGGCAGGGCAACGCCGGGGGCTGGGCCAGCTCGCTGCCGCCCAGGCGGTGGGGTCGGGCCGGCCAGGGGCCCGGCCGCCACCCCCGGAGGGACGGAGCCGGGGGGCGGGTGGGGGCAGCGAGGGGGACGGGTGGGTAAAGTCCAGATTCTCCATTATCCTCCATGGTCACGCAGCCTGCTTGAATAAGGAAGGTTAGGGTGAGTTTCTTTCTACCCGCAAAATATTTATGCCCTTATTTTAAGCATCTTTCTTTTGACAAATGATAAATATCCATGAAAGAGTACATGGCTGAGAAAAGGAGGGAGGGGTTGTTTCCTAGTTTTAAGGAAGAAATAGTGACTTGGCTGAAGAAAGAGGAAAGTTTTCCTAAACATTGGCCCTCATCCCTTTCTGAAGACAATCATACTTTTGCAGGTGGGCAGAAATCCTAGATGCATTCATTTCCATACAGATCTTGGGGGATTTCTCAAATACATAAAAGTCTACCACGTCCTGAGGGTGGCCAGTGGGAGTGGGGGGTATAGTAGGGACATAACCTGCTCTAAACATATACCATGGGAAATTCTTGACATAGGTCCCCAGCCTGTCCTTTACAGACACTGAGCAGGAATGATCGAATCAGGCTTCTTGGATAAGCTGCTTCTAAAATTTTACTTTCAAGGTGCCAGGCTCTCTAGCTGTAAGAGACCTTGTGCTCCACCAGTTTGTCTTAGCCAGCTGTTTAATTCAACAAGGAACGTTAAAGCAGCCTGGAGAAAGGTAGAAGGTTATTTAAGTCATATATATATATATATTTTTTTTTTTTAAAGGGGAATACCTTGAACATTCAATGGGTCATTGATAAAATATGAAGGAACTCATCATATTACTACAATGAGGCTACCAGATGTTTGAAGAGACTGATAACACAATATATATTCCAAATTAGAGACAAAAAAATTGTTTTGTACATTAACATATTTAACCGATCTGGAACCAAATCTTTCTATAATGGGGTTTACTTTTATTAACAGTACAATGAGACAGGAGGTCCTCACACCCACTAGGAATTCAAAATTTATATATTTTTGTGATGAAGTCTTTCATATAGCTTAAAAGCACCAAAAGTTCACTTGGGTTGAAATTCAAGTTCATTTTGGTAAAACCCCAAAGAAATTTCATATGTATCAGCACTTCAGTAGCTTGGGGAAGGGCAGGGAAGGAGAAAAAGGGAAGAAGATTCACAATATTAGTCTGATTTTCTTTGACCCTAAAGGGTTCAATCTGTTTTATCAAATGGTAAAACCACTACTTTGTGGTCTTCCTTTCTTTCCCTTTAAAATTTTTTTTTTTAATAGATTCTAGTAAGTATTAGGAAGACATTTCCTATTATGAATTACAACATTAGTATGATCATGAACTGATTTGTGCTTATCCTGACCAGACACTAATTCCGGGGCAAGGAGAGTTCTAAGATTTTTTCCTTCTTTTGAAGAATAGCAACACTGGATTCTTCAGTACATGTACTAAGAGCTAGAGAAAAGAGAAAACATTCCAAAGGATATTAATCTGAACTTGAGAAACCCATCTTTATTGAAGCTAACTGACTTTTGTTGTAAAACAGTAAGTTTACTCCACATCTAGCATTTCCTCATAATTCAGAGAAGTTATTCACAGGTGGGTTCCTCTGGCTTCACAAGTGGTTAACTTATTCTCTATCAGACAATGAAGCTTCCTTTATCCAAGCCCGGTTCCTTCAATTGGAAACCATTAAACCGCATAGCCGATATAGCATTGGGGTGTGCAACCTCAACATTTAAAGGACTAACAGCTCTTGTTTAAATACATTATTTTTTGCTTAGTGATTCTCCAGTAGTGACTCATCAAGTCACTTGGTAAGAAACAGACAGATCTTGATATTTGAACAACTGACTGAGCTACATTTTAAAAACTTAACTGCATTTCTGATGCAGAAAGATTAAAACCAGCTAGTTTTAGTTTGTCAAGGGTTGGAGTAAGTAGTAACACAAGGTGGAATCCAAAATACTCTAAAGATTTTTTGCTATCCATGTGTGAAAGAAGCCCTGTTTTAGGGAATTAGATTCATGGATTCCAATGCCAGAAGAGATCCCCAGTGAAAAGGCACCACTGTGACTACCCAGCTGTAAAGGCACCACAACACTGGAAAATTCCGCTCATTTATAAGAGATTTTACAGCTAGTAGTTTTGTTTGTTATATCAAAGCACAAAGAGGTTTTCATCTATTACAACAGTTATTTAATAGGTCTAACATCTATAGCAAAAGTATCTTTTTACAGATAAGTAATGAAGTAAAGACGACTTCCGTACTGCACTACTTAATGACAATAGCACTTAAATACTGGTTTGTTAAGAGATCACACTGATAACAAAATAGATAACGCTGATCATGTTTAGGCTAGCAGGGAAAATTAATACCATGTATGGAAGCTTTAGGATTCTAGTCATGATGGGTTTTTCACCCAATCTCTGGGCAAAAATAATCCATATATGGGAAATACTACCACAGTAATAAGACTGTTTTTTTGTCATGGAAAAACTGACATTTAGTATAACTTAAACCAGAAAGTTGAGCCATTGGAAGAAGAGTTCAATAGAAGTCTGAGCTTACATTTTGAAGGCCAGAACATTCTTTGGAATGTGTCCATTTTCTGTTCAGTCTTTTGGTTTTAATGGTCATGAAATACAGGCCCAGTGTTAAAGAAAATTGTTCAAAAATGCCAGCCAGAGTAAAAAAAAAAAAAAAAAATCTGTATATATAATGATAATTTCAGGTTAAGACACAGACTTAAAAAATAATATATTTCTTCATGGAAAAAAAAAAAAAATTAAATACTGTTGTGGTTTAACCCCAGCTGGCAATTAAGTACCACACAGCAGCTTGCTCACTCCCCCCACTCCAGTGGAATGGGGGAGAGAATCAGGAAAAAAAAAAAAAAGTAAAACTTGTGAGTTGAGATAAAGACAATAGGACAGAAAGGGACGATAATAATAATAATAAGTATACAAAACAAATGATGCACAATACAATTGCTCAGCACTTGCTGACTGATGCCCAGCCAACCCCCAAGCCGTGGTGTCCCCTGGCCAACTCCCCCCAGTTTATATATAGGGCATAACATCAGATGGCATGGAATACCCCTTTGGCTTGTTTGGGTCAGCTGGCCTGGCTGAGTCCCCTCCCAGATTCTTGGGTACTATCAGCCTCTGCAGGCTGGGCACTATGAGAAGCTGAAAAATCCTTGACTTAGTCTAAATACTGTTTAGCAACAGTGTGTTATCAACATTACTGTTATCCTAAATACAAAACACAGCACTATGCCAGCTACTAGGAATAAAATATTTACTTTATTCCAGTCAAAACCAGGGTAAATACATGTTGCAGTGTAATAATATCTAGAAAATTGTTTAATTAAGTAGTTGATTATACTGCTGAGAACTTAAACTTAGGAATGTTCAGTATTAGTATATAAAAATGAAGGTCAATCATCGTAAGACAGCAGCATTATACAGCTGGTGGGGTGAGGGGGTGGAGGGGTGGGACAGGACACCAGAATAAAATAGAAACACCAGCACTTGAAAGATACTGAAACAAAACTTTCAGACTATTCTGATTTAGGTGACACAATTAGAAGTTAAAACGTGATACTTAAGATCTCTGTTTACTTACTAATATTGACTCTACTAAGTACACTGAATATAAAAACACCTTTTGCTTCAGGTCTGTTTTCCTCAGCATGAATTAGAGCTGTCAATGATACACATTCATCAACAGCAATCTTTAAAAAAAATAAACCCATCGCCTTTCAAGTGGCTAGAACTACACAATTTTGCTGAGGATTCTCCATATGGACTTCATTATAAACTTTAATACATCAAAGAGAAAAAGTTTAGCTGCTTTCTTAGGATGATTGAATTCCAGTAATAATGTAGCTGCATATAGCCAGATATTGACTGCTACCAGATTAGACGAGATTTTTAGGCTGCTTGTTGGATATTTGTTCATGTACTTTATTCACTGAGTCAAAGAACATGGATCTACTATGATCCATGTACTAGAAGAAATTAAAGTTGATTATAACAGTAAACGTAACTTGATCACTTTCATTTTTATATGCTACTTCTGGAATTCACTATTCCATTGGCGGGGTTACCCACCTCTTCTTTTCAGTTAAGTAGCTACAGTTTCCAATTGTTTGTTTTTCCCTTTCCTAAATTGTTTTCAGAATGTTCCTAAACAAACAGCACAGAAGTTACTGCATTCACTGGTTCTGCTGACAAGTAATGAGCCTGCATCTGTATTCCTGTAAATGAAGGCTCTCTAGATTATGAACCACATCCAGACATTTTTTTTCTTCTTAAATAATAAGTAATGTTTCTCTAGCCAAGGTTCTGTCAGTAGTTGAATGCCAGGGGTTATTTAATGATTTTTCCTGAGACTATTCGTGTAGTTCTCATATTAACCATACAGGCCAGTTTTTAAGTTCCCCTCCCCGCAGTAGAAAGGGCTGAGGGAGGATCAGGAAAGACTTGGTAAAGCTTGG